GGGGGGGGGGGGGGGGGGGGGGGGGGGGGGGGGGGGGGGGGGGGGGGGGGGGGGGGGGGGGGGGGGGGGGGGGGGAGGGGGGGGACGCCGGGTGCGTACCGGCATACACGTCAGTGTCGAAGGGGGGTTCGGCCCCGGGCTGAGAGCCCCGAGGCCTGAGGCGCAGATGAGAGATGCAGCGCGACCGGACAGGGGGGTTGTGATTATTTTTTTTCCCCATCCCTGCCCCTCGGGAAGGGGAGATTTGATGCGCTCCACCGGCGAGCGGATCGGACTGCTCGCGGGGTCGAGTCACCTCTCCCCGCTCGCCCGCTGGCCCCAGAGCACAGACACACCAGCCGGGGGCCCGGGCCCGTGGCCCCCCGTTGTGTGTGTGTGTCTTTCTTCTTTTCGGCCGCTTGGGACCGAGTAATTAGCCAGAAAATGGCCCGGCCCCCCCCCCCGTTCGGAGCTAGGCAAGGGCCCGCGAGCCAGGCGGCAGTGAATCCCGAATGGATGCTCATGTTCGTCAGCTTAGCGACATAGGACGCCCCCGGCGCCGGCTCATTAGACCGGCGGCGCTGGGGGCCCACAATTATGCGTTCCAGCACGGGGCGCGCCCCGTGTCTTCATAAGGGTGTGTGTATGTGTGTGTGTGCGCGCGAGTAGGGGCGCGGAGTGAAGGGAGCCAAGACGGGGCGGGGCATCGCCCGGGGCCCCAAAGAAGAGCAGCACGCGAGCTAATCTCAGGCGACGGATTGGGCCTTTGGGGCGTGGTAGCTTGATCCTTCCCCAGGTACTCCCGGTTCTCGGGGGCGGGTGGCCGGCTGAACTTCCGGCCTCGGGTGGAGCCGGCTCGTTTAGCGGAGAAAAGGCAAGCGAGCCCGGCAAGCTGGCAGGGCGTGCGATGCGCCGGCGGTGTCTGCCGCGAGAGCGGCTGGTTCAAGCCCCCCACAGGGCGGGGGCCAGGTCTCGGCATTTCGAGTCGACCGAGTGGCGAATGCTCCTTACGTGCGCACTCCCGCCCGGGGGGGGGGGGGGGGGGGAGAGATAGATAGCGAAGGCGAGGGAGGGCCTGACATACAGACTCCGGTCCTGGGAGCGCGACAGAGGGAAAGGGCGCCATCATGCGTGACACGGCCGCTCGAGGTCTTCGCCCAGTGCCCGGCCTGGTCTGTCTCTCGTGCCGTTGCCGGGCAGGGAGGCAGCCGAGCCCGCGGCCGCGGGGCCCAGTGGGGGCTGCTCCGCCGCCTGCAGGAAGGTGGCAAGTCGGGCCGCTTTCCCTGACTCCTGCTTGGCTCCGCGGGCTGACCCGGGTGCTGGTGAGCAGGGAGTAATTTTACAATCTGGCCACTTCGCCGCGGGCCCCCTTGCTGCCGCTTACAAGTGAACTGAAACACCCCACCGATATTGCACACGGCCGGGAGTCCGCTTGGCCCGGGAGGAAGGGGAAACCACCTTCGCCGAGGCAAATATACAATATGCCGCTGGGGCACAACCTGCCGCCCTTGTTCGTCTCATGCTCGGGACGCTGCACGCCGATGTCGCGACCGCCGCGGTGCCCCGGGCTCGGAGGCGTGCTGAGGCCGCCCTTGAGGCAGCTCGCAAATGCCCCTCCCCATTTCCCCCTTTCACTCCCCCCCCCCTCCCCCGCCTGCAATCCCGGCTGGGGTGTGGGGCACTTGAAGCCATCGAAGTCCCTAATCTCCGGATGGCTTGCGCGGTCGAGCCATGTCGCCGGACACGGGCCAGCCGTCTTGCCATTAGGCGGGGCTGGCCACTCGAGATGAGCAGCCGGCCGAGAGGTGACCCTCTGGCTGGGCCTGGGCCTGGGCGCGCGTGAGTAAAAGAAAAAAGCATTCCCCGGTAGGAGTGTACCAGGGTCGCAAAGGACAAGGGAATCGATCGTGCGAGCTCTTGGAAGCCGAGATGGCCTGTAGACCGGAACATGGACGTGGCTATGCTCGCTTCTCATTTTCCACGGGCGTCCCCGCGAAAGTGCCTTGCCCCGCGAGCCACAGGACACATTCTCCATCGGCATGCTTTTCTCTGTCGCCTGTCTCTGCCAGTTTGTATCCTCCTCGAGGCAGGAGGGTCACCACCTTCCGCCGAGGTATGCGGCGGGGGTCCCATTTCCGGCTGGGCATGGCTCACGGTCGACGGACGCTCCGCATGGGCGGCTGGCGACCGGCGGTGCCTTGCCTCGCGCTCTCGAACGCAATCCGATCCATGGCCCTATCGCGGTCCTGGCCCCGGTCCACGGAACAGGGCCCATAGATCCAAGATGCTCGGGCCTCCCCCTCGGCGGACTCTCCATCAGGCCTCCTCGTGCCCCTGCTCAATGGCCAAGTTACCCCGGGGGCGAGTTGCGCCGGGGGGAGTCGGGGCAAAGGAGGCTCGGATGGAGCCAGAACCAAAGGAGAGTTCGCACGCATGCTGGGGACATGATGCCTTTGGGCAAGATAATCAGCATGTACCGCATCCGTGGGCTCCCCACTGGCGCACTCAGCCCGGTCCAGAGCACTTCTCGCGTACTCACCGACGCACGTGCGCTGCCTGGAGCATCGCCAGGAAGTGTTCGCCCCCCGGTCCCCGGCCCCGCTTGGCCGGGTACCATCTCATCGGCATGCATGTGGCGACTGCGTGCCCGCTTGGCGGCGGCCCAGGCCCCACCTTCCGCGAATCGGTCCAATGGCGCCCGGCAACTGGACTTCACCATATCCGAGTGGCCAGCGGAGTGCGAGGGAACCGGGCAAAGGAGGCGACGTGCAGGCGGGAAGACACATCCCGCTGCATGCAAGCGCATCCGCCCCCCCGCCCCCGAAGGATGCCGGTCTTCTTGGAGCTATGTCTAGCCATGTGTGAGAATGCCTGCTTGCGGTATATTAGCTTTTAGAGGGGGTCGCCGGGCCAGGGCGCATGTTAGCCCCCGCTCGTGCTGCGGCCACCGGAGGGGGGGGACTCTTTGGGGCGTGGGCGCTCGCACGCGGGGCCCGGGGGCCCGGGGGCAGGGGCGTTGATTGCCCGATACACGGAGCACATGGGCGCGAGGGAGGGGAGGCAGTGGCGGCGGGGAGGCCCGAACGAATATTATACTTCGCACGGGTCCGTCCCGAGGCCAGATATGAGCGTCGATTGTCTCGATCAGGCCTCGACCCTCGGTCCCGGTGGGCCATGTCTCAGTTCGACCGCCACAGGGGTCGAACTTACCAGGCAGAGAGGCTCCTTCCGGGCGCATGCCATCACGGCCCGGCGGCACCTAGGGTTATGCCCGTCGACAAGGCTCCCTGATGATGTTCATTGCGAAGGTGGAAAGTAGAAAGGCATGGGCGCGCGTGTGCGCACACAAGGGCCTCTACACGAACACATACATGCATGCACACATGCACACATGCCCCCAGTCGTTCATATGTCACCCCACCCCCGGCCGCTCTCCCCGGCCCGCCGAGGATGGCGGGCCAATATCTGTCCGGGATCGAGGTGGCCGAAATAATGGTCGGACTTACCGGTGGCCCTGTGCCGGGCAGCCCGGACCGCATCAACGTGGACATCGCCCCCCCCCCCCCCCCCCCCCAGGCAGGAAGGTGAGAAGATGGTCAGGCGCGTCTAGACCGTTCTCGATCCCTCTCATCACCCACAAGCTGCCAACTCAGGCGATTGTGGAGTAATGTTCCTCCGTGCCTTGATTGTGGGCCTGGGGCCCTGAATGTGGGCGGAGGGGCCGCCGGTCTGGATGTGCCCCCCTTGTGTCCCGAGGCAGGGTGGGGGCAACTCCTCGCGCGGCTCTGGCTCCTCTGTCCTGCTTTCCGCGGCCCTTGAAAGTCCCGAGCACCACATTGACAAGGACAAGACTGGGGGGGGGCTTTTTTGGTGCACTCCGGGAGTCTCCTGGTCGCCCTTCTGGGGTCCCCCCCCCCCGGCCCCCGATCCCCGGGGCCAGGTGCTTCAACACCCCCGACGCCGGGTCAAGGCGAGATGGCCCTAAACGGATCCCATTGCGCACAGAGGCATTCGTCTTAGAAGCGTATCCACCTCCTGAACTCAGTCAGCACGAGGAGCACGAAACACACACACACACACTCACAGAGGGAATTAATTCACCAAGGTACACCAACACCAGCCTTGGGCTTTTTTCACCGATCTGGGCTTTCGGCTTACGTGAGACACCAGCAGGGGCAGTTAATTCCCCCACCTCCCCCCGCCCCCCGCCCCCCCCCGACTTCCCTTGCCCCGCTTTTTGAGCACCTCTCCGCCCACCGGATCTGGACACACCATATGCGCTGCATATACCCACGGACACCTCGCCTTCCCATATTCACATGAATGCCCCCCCCCTCCCCCCCATCCCGATGCCCGGCCACAACTGCAGGGCCCACACGTGCGTGCAGCAACATTCACCTGCACAGGGGCGTGAGCGGGTCGTGGACGCGGATCCAAGCGGACCGGCACATGCTCCGGTGGGCATCGTCTCAGCAATGTCGGGCTGGAAGGGCAGGGGCGAAGAGCCGATGTCCGCGAGGAGGGCCTTGGCTAAGCTCACCCTCCTCGATGTCATCGCGTGGTGTCGGACTGACACAGGTGGGCTCTTTGAGACAAACAAATCCCCGCCCACTCCTCGAGCGTGAGCATTATAGGGCGAGGGCAATCACATCCGCGCGCACGCATGCACAAGCACAAGCGCTAGAGGGATGACGGCTGGCCTTGGGGAGCCCGTTAAGCTTGCCCCAAGGGCCGAGGTGCGTGGCCTCCAAGGCACGAAGCAGACACGCATGATCCTCGGGGGGGGGGGGGGGGGGGGGGGAAGGAGGCATGAAAAAGAGAACGCTATGGCCATGGGAGAGGGGGCCTTAGATGTCGGTTGAAGGATGGTCCCCCCCCCTCCTCCTCCCCGGAGACTGGGAAGATCGGATAAGCAGGGGCAGCAGCTGGGCCCTCCATGCCAGCCCCGATCGGGGCGGGCTGCGTGACATTCTGTGAGCCCGAACAAGCCGAGCCACTTTTTCCATCCGCCCCTCGGCCCGCCCCCGCCCTCTTTGTCCGTCCCAATGTCTTACCAGGTGTAGGTCTGGGCCTGAGTCGGGACAACCCGACCCTAAAAAACCCTTCCCTTCCTAAAAGCAATGCGACAAGGGCAAATTGGGTCAGTCCCGGGGGGGGGGGGGGGGAGGGACACACATGCGAGCATGCTGTCCGCATGTTTGTGTGTGCATGTGTGCGCGCGTGCGCGCGTGCGTGTGTGTGGGTGCGTGGGTGCGTGGGTGTGCGAGGGCGAGGTGTGGAGAGCAGGGAGCCTGAGAGGGGAGGCAGAGAGAGAGGGGGGGGGGGGAGGGGAGGGGGTGGACGAATGTGCTCCCCGAACATCGAGATATCCCCCCGAACGAGGGCGAATCCCAAGCAGCTGTGAAGAAGGAGTGAGGGAAAGAGCAAAGGACAGCCATCTATATTAAGGGGGAGGGAAGAACACGAATCCGGGCAAGTAGAGCGGGCCTGAAACACAAGGACATGGAGGTGCCCCGTCGGCACCTGGAGGAGAAGCTGAGAGACGGGATGCGAGAACACCGTGCCTCAGAGCTTCACGATGATCAGTTGGCGCTCGGCGTCGTACTCGCAGTTCTGTGCCGCGAAGGACTTCGACGCATAGAAATCACGCAGATCATGGATATCGTACTCGCGCGCCTGTGCACCAAGAGGAGGCCCAAATATGCGCAAGAAGGGATGAAGGAGGGATGGCCAGCAGACCAACGAAGCACATGCCCAGCCAGGCAAAGCAAGTTGCAGGTCAGCATTCGGGACGGGCACGCAGAGGAAACCCAGCAGCATGCATGAGCACTGTGTGTCAGTGCGAACATGCGGCACAGAGCAACGAAAAAGACTGTCCTAGCACGGGGGAAAGAGTCGCCAACCCGCGGAGTTGGGAGAAAGCTCGACTGTCCTGGACAAGCCTACTCTCCCCATTCCTCCTCAGCACACACACACACACACACAGGAACACGCGCGGACGCATGTGCGCGTCAACATGCACAGATGTGTGTGCGCGCGCGCGCGTGCAGCACGTGGACATGTGGGCGATTGCAATCGCGAGTCGACCCAGTCATGGTGCCTGGGCGCGATCGTCGTTTCACACGCGTGCTTGCGCCCGCCAATGGTCCCCCCCCCCCCCGCCGCCCGCCCGGCAAAGCCTCGCCACCCGGCCCGGCGCCCTCTGGGCATCCGGGAACACCCCATGCCCATGACACACCAACAGCCCGTCGGCCAATCACAAACGCACCTTCGACTCGAAATCCTCTGCCCGAAGCTCCAGCACACTGACATCGGCCCCGGCCAGGCGATGCTGCTGGAAGGAGTACTCCTCGCGGATGGCCGACGACAGGAGGAAGGCCAGCAACTCGGTAGACTCGTACCCGAAGGAGAGGAAACGGGCAAAGGCCCGGCGCATCTGCCGACCGACAGAGTGCTTCTGCGCGCTGACGAAAGACTCGACACACATGCGGATGGCCACATTGACATCGTCACTGCGGACCACATCACGCAGGAACATCCGCGCGCGCGCCTCACTCATGCGGATGATCGATTCAATCAGACGCACAGTCACCGGGATGGAGTCCGTATGGGCGGACTCCCGCCGAAGAGCCGCATACAGGTGCGCAATGCGGTCCTCATCGGCCGAGCGCAACCGCGGCCGGACATTCTGCCGGGCAAACATGATGTACTTCCGCAGGGTTTCATTGTCCAGGAGGTCTTCATCCACCCCGGCCGCCGAGACACTGCTCACCGTGCCATCGGCATTCAGCTGGAAGCTGTCCACCTCATCGGTGCCGGCCACAAACTCCGGATGGTAGCGCAGATGGCTGTCCACCACGAAGCGCGCCAACTTCCCATCCAGCACCGGATCCACCGTATCCCGAACGACGCACAGAATGTCGAAACGCGACAGGATGGGCTCCGTCAGATCGACATTCTGCCCGAAGGGCAGCGACGAGTCGTACTTGCCCTTGATGGGGTTGGCCGCGGCGATGACAGCACACCGGGCATTCAGGGACGTGACAATGCCGGCCTTGGAGATGGAAATGGACTGCTGCTCCATGGCCTCATGGATGGAGGTCCGGTCGGCGTCATTCATCTTGTCAAACTCATCGATCAGACACACGCCCCGATCGGCCAAAACCAAGGCGCCTCCCTGAAGGGTCCACTCCCGGGTAACCGGGTCCTTCTGCACCGCGGCCGTCAGACCGACCGCCGAGGCACCCTGCCCGGTGGCATAAACCGCCCGGTGGGATGTGCGCTCGACATACTTCAGGAATTGGGACTTGGCGGTTCCCGGGTCACCAAGCATCAAGACATTGATGTCGCCACGGATTCGGTGCTTTCCATCGACATTCTTCTCGACGCCGCCGAACAGCGACAAGGCCAGCGCCTGCTTGATGTTCTCATGTCCGAAGATACCAGGAGCAATGCTCTTGGCGATCTACACAGGGACAGCAGAAAAGCCGGAACAGGAGGAGCAGGAGCAGGAGCAGGAGCAGGAGCAGGAGCAGGAGGGGGGGGGGAGGGTATTGGCAAAGAGCATCGGACAGTGTGCCAAAGCCGCAGTCGGGTGCCGACCGACAAGCAAGCAGAAAGGGTGAGGGGGTCAGCCAAGAAAAGCGACGCATGGGTTGACCGGGAGAAAACAAAGCAGGGGCAGTGCGACCAAATTCGGAGAGACGGGGGGGAGGCGACAGGCAAGGGGGCGGGGACAAGCGCCAAAAAGGGCACCGAGGTTCAGACCCGAAAGAGGTGGAGGCTTTGCGCAAGACCATGTGGAGACGCACCCGGTCGCCGATCCGCTCATCCTGCGCCAGCTGGCGGATTTGCCGACGGTCCTCATCCGTGAGGTTGTACGCCATCAGATGGTCCATGCGACGGATGACATTGTTGGCCTCGATGATGGTCTGGAACACGGGGAAGCCATTGCGCGCGTGCAGGGCCGCATCAAAATTGTTCCGATAAATGCCGATGACCTCCTACATGCACCAGCCAGCCCCCGTGCAGGAGAAGCAGACAGATCGAGGGCCCATGATCAAGCAAGGGCGGGGTACACATGTCAGTTGGATGGAGGTCCAATTGCCGAGGGGAGAGGGCCCCAGGCGAAGGGGACGTGCAGGTGGCGTGGGGAAGGAAAGGAGAGAGGGGTGAAGCAAATGCAAGCAGGGTCATCGGGGGAGGGGGGGGGAGGAATGTCCGGCACGCACCACCTCATCTCCAGGGCGCGCCGAGTCAATGAGATCGCGAAGGAGAATGACATCCTTGTGCCGGGGGAGGCGCCCAGCCGGCACGGTACCCGGACTTTCCTGGATTGTGATCTTCTGGAAGTTGCGGTACGCCGTCTTTGGTCGGAGAGGCCACCGAAAGGCGAGGGGGGAGGGGAAAAAAAAAAACAAAGCGAAAAGGTGAGACACAGACAACTGAGACAGTGGCAGGGACAACGGAAGCAGGCAGCAGGGCTACCGGGCCGCGGCCACCAGCAGTGCCTTGAGAAAAGAAGGGCCACGAGGAAGGTGGCGCACCTGCTCCATGTTCACGGTGAATGGGCCCTTGGACTCGCATTCCGGGCACCGGGCGATGGTGATCTCGTCGCCATCGCCGCTCTGATAGTACGGCCCGAGGACAGCCGTGCACTTGGCGCAATCGAACTTCACATATCGCAGCTGAGGGAGGACATTGGTCCGGCGGGTGACCACGCCTGACACTCGGACCAGGTGGTTCAGCTGATTGTGGCGCAGGTCGCGAAGCTTATCGATGACTGGGACATCGGAAATGCGGACATGGACTTCCGGATGGATTTGGTGATAATGCGGGAACATGGTCAGGGTAAACTCCAGGGCCACCTCATCGAAGATGGCAAGCATCTCGGTGGGCGCCAGGCCCAGGAACTGCGCCAACACCGGGCTCTTGTGGTAAAGGTGCTGCCAGGACACATCGAAGCTTTCGCGGTTGGCTGGTGACATGTCACGGCAAACGGAGCAACCGACAGGCGGGCAGGCAGTGCATATGTGTGAATGGGGGGCGGCGGGGGGAGCAGAGGAGGAAAGGCCAAGGGTTGAAGGAGAGAACCGAGTGGCGCCGCGAAGAGGGGCAGGGCGAGGAGGCTTGGGGGCGCACCGTTACACATCTCCTTGATCCGGTGGGCATAGACCGAGGTGGCAAACTCATCCAGGTAGGAAGAGATGAAGGCCTGGAAAGCCTTGCGGATGGCATTTCGCGTGGCCTGGAGCTGAACCCACTCGCGGGGAGCATATCCACGCATGTCATCCAGGTTGTCGAGAGACACATCCTTCTACGGGTCCGGGAGCGGGTAGACGGGATGATCGAAGGAGGGAGCGGGGAATCGGGAATGGGGGGTCGAGGTGGCGGGGGGGGGGAGGCTTGGTGAGTCGGTCTATCGGAAAGAGAAAAACAGACAAAGCAGAGGCGAGCAGGGAGAGAGAAAGAGAGGGAGAGAGGGAGGGAGGGAGGGAGACAATGACAAGAGATGATGGGGAGGGAGATCGTACCATGGCCTCTTCCTCATCGAAGCCGGCCTGGACTTGCATGGCCCGATGGGCGGTGGCCATGCTATCGTCTTCGATGCGACGCCGGCGGAGTTCGCGCTCGTGGAAGCCCTCGGCATCGGGGTCATCCGAATCGAAGTCACCGTCATCCTCGCCGAGACCATCTTCGAGGGGGGGGGGGGAGGGGGAGCAAATTTGGCGGTCAGGCGAAGGGGGCTCCCACCGGTGTGTGCTGGCAAGGTCCGAGAAGCAACGCACCCTCATTGAATGCATCATCGCCAAGGCCGGCCGCCAGGCGGTCAGCGCGGCGACGGTCGCGCGCACGCTTCCGGTTTTCGGCGTCCGCCAGCCGCCGCTGGCCAATGTCCATCTCACCATAATTGGTGTCATCAATGCCACGGCCTTCGTACTTGTCGAGCTCCGGGTTGACACGGTAGTCCCTGTGTGGATGTGGGTGCATGTGTGAGCGCGCCAAAAAAAAAGAAGCAAGGGGAAGGCAGTGTCATCCTGAGGCAGACAGGGGGGGGGGGGCGGGGCGGGGGGGGGGGGGGAGGGAGGGAGAGGGCCAACAGAGGGGGATGAAAAGGGGATACAAAGGATGGCGAGAAAGACGCACTGCTCCATGTCATCGCCAAGAAGATCCTCGCCATCATCTTCCTCATCCTCGAGGTCGTCCCCATGCGCCGGGGCACCGTAGTCCACCTCGGGCACGGCATCCTCAAGAACTACGCCATCATTATCGTCAACATCCGCGACGGGGGAGTGGTCTTGGTGGAAGAAGTCCGACGGGGCGTCGCTGAAGAAGCCGCCGCCCATGGGGGAGGTGGGCGCATCGGTGAAAGGGACCGTGCTGCCGGGGCTAGTGGGCTCGGAGTTGAAGGAACCGAAGGAGGTCGGAGCCTCAGCCGCGTCGGACGACACGTGCCAATCAGTCCGGCGGGGGCGATTCGGGTTGGACTGCAGCAGGTTTCCGTCAGAGGGTGGCAAAGGAGCAAACTGGCAAATGGCCGGGCCGGTGGGGAGGTACCATTTGCGACGAGTCGGGAGAGGCCGGAGCGGCAGGGAGGAGACAGAAGGGTTTGCGGGTGGGGGTGGGCAGAAAGGGAGAGAGACAGAGAGAGAGAGAGAGAGGGCGCGAGAAGGAGGGCGAGAAAAGGAACAGAGGCCCGGGTAAAGGAAGAGGGGGCAGGAGGTGAGTGGGTGAACTAACAAAGCATGTTTCCACTTTCGAGGCGGTAGCCGAAAAGAAGCGGGATCTTGGGGAGGATGCCCCGAGGAGCCCCCGGGGAGGGGGGGGGGGGCGGGGACAAACACAAGACACCGAGACCCTCGGAGAGCCATCCTGCAAGCCCCAGGGAAGGGTGCTGGCGAGGAAAGGGCGGAAAAGCGGACATCAACCCTTCCGGTGAAAGAAAGAAAAAAAGCCGGATCTCTTCCAAGATCTGGACCGGGTTTCTGCCCCAACGGAGTTGATAGGGGCGGAAGGGGTGGTGGCAAAGGAACAGGCAGGCCAGGTGCACCAAACAGGCAGAGGGGCAAGGGATGTTTGTTTCCAGCGCGTGGGGTGTGCCCTCGTGTGAAGGGAGGACCGGATAAAAAAATGGCCGCGACGAGCGGTGCGTACGATCGGGGGATTCATACCGGTAACGGTCATATCGCGTGACGAGGAAACGGTGTTCTGGGGTGGCGCTTTTGCCAGCCGTTCCCACGGCCGATATGCCAATCTATCGGGCCATCGGCTGGCACGTTGGACCATTTCCGTTCGTAATTTCTGTCGGCAGAAGAGGAGGGGGGTACACAGGGCGGCGGCGGGTCACTGATCGAAGATCGATCTGAATAGATTCCCACCCGCCCCTTCTCCCTCCCCCCCCCCTCCCCCCTCCTCGCCCTCCCCCCTCCTCGCCCTCGCCCTATCCCGCTTCCTCGCCCTATCCCGCTTCCTCGCTCGCACGCCCTGCCGGATGGCTGCACATCCGAACAAGCGCCCGCGGCCGGGGTCTGGAGGCTCGTCAGCGGGGCTTCAAATGGAGGACATCGTTGTGCTGATCTCCTCGGACAGTGATCTGTCGGATGTCGATGTTGGCGGGCCGCCGCGCCCGGTCCAGCAGGCTGTTGCTACCAGCTCCCTGTCTTTCGGTGGGGAAGATCTCCTGGCCAGCCTTCGCGCGGAGGCCGCCGCTTCAGCCGCAACAAGGCCTTCCATCCCCACGCCGTCCTTCTCCGCGGACGACCTCCTTCCCGGTCGGGCCCATCCGCCAGCCGCAATATTTGATTCCCGGTCGGCGCCTGCTCTGGACAGCGGATGGTCTGATGCGGTGCCCCCTCTCGGCCCGAGCCTGAATCACGGATCGCGGCCGGTCTCCCCGTCACAACAGCCCAGACAGCGGGCCAATGTTGGCTCCAAGCGTCTGTCCGGAGCCGCGGCCCGGTCAAGTACGTCAGCCGCCCTGGCCCCGGATACGGCTCCCGCGCCGCGAATTACGATTGACCGACGGTGGGACATCCCCCGATCGAAGGTTCGCCCTTTTTCGTGGCCTTCACTCCTGCCCTCGCTGGAGGAACTCATCAGAAAGTGCGCCTGGGTCGCTGACATTTTTGAATGTCTTCCTTGGGCTCCTCTTCCCCCCTCTTGCGGCGGCGTAGGGCAAAGTTCGTGACGACCTGGCACCTGCCTTGATCGAGAGCCTGGAGCACATGTGCGATGCCAAGTTTTTTCCCTCGATCACCCGATCGGAGCTGGCATACTCGCTGCCGCCGCTTCCTGGACTTGGGTCCGGCCCCGCGAGCGTGCCCCCAGATCCCGTACAGCCGGTGGATCTCGATCTCCAGGAGTTGACGGCCCTCTTCCCTTCGGGAAATGCCCACCCCGGCTCGCGACTCAGTCAGAGGTCCCTCCCTGTGGCGCGATCCCTGCAGGTGGTCATCTCCGAGCCGCTGAATCTCTATCCGGCCGGTGCCTTCGAGACGAGCTCCTCCCTGACAGTCCCAGTCACCTACACCCTGGCTCTGGTCACCGCGCGGGAGTTCGCCGAACCGGCTTTTCGGGCCACCCTCCGAAGGACCCTGGCCGAGTGGGCGTTCGCCGCGTCGCCGCGCAGCTCGCTGCCCTGGTGCACGGATGTGCCGGGCTCCGGGACCCGTCCTGTGCCGACTGGCTTGCGAGACTTTGACCCTTTTGTGGATTTGTTTTCCTCCGGGCCCGGTGGGCTTGGTCGACAGTCGCCCAGTCGCGAGGCGGGTACCATTCAGTCGCATCGCCGCCATGCGCTGCTCATTGTGGAAGGACGTGCGGTTTTCGAGAAATCCCTGCGAAAGGCCGCTGCCGCGCGCTTTGCCTCGGCCGCGGCCGAAGTTGCCTCTCAAGGGGCCGACCTCTCGAGTGGCCTCTCATCTGGGTATGTTCCGATCGGGGTTCCACCTTTGCCATGCTCCCGCTTGTCACGCATTTTGACCTCGGGACTTCAGCGGCTCGAGTGATGAGGAGGAGCCGACCGATGCACCTGGCGACCTGGGTACCGGCAGGCCGGCGCCCATCTTGACCACCACTCAGTTTCGCCAGGCACTTGTTCATCTGCAGTTGGACACCGGCATCCAGCTGGTGGAGACCGCTACCCGCAAGGAAAGTGTCCGGAAGCTCCTTGCGCTGGTGTATTCGTTGATCCGGAAAAACCGGTTCGTCAATGATCATGGTCCTTTTCTTCTTTTTTTTCTTTTTTTTTTTTGGCGGACAGGGGGGGGCACTTATGGCGTGCATGTGTCCTAACTCCATGCTTTCGATGTGCGTGTGCGTCTTTGCACGTGCACTGGGATATGCTCTTGTCGCCGGTGGCCGTCAGGCGGGTCGGTTCGGATGTGGGCCAACAGCACCTCGAGGCTTTTAAACGGACGGCCACCTCAGCCGGCCAAGCACCAGCCGCCGTCTTTTTGAAGAATGCATTGATGGTCCGTGCCCCTTTGGCCCCATATATCGCCTTGACATCACTTCTTTTCGTTCTTTCCTTTTTTTTTCCGCCGTCCCCCTCATTGCCGGGGGCATGCACACATTCGCCGGCACAACCAAACAGACAAACAAGCTCACATAAACCCACCTTGGGCCACCACTCGGGGGATAGATGATTCCCAAGGTGTCGGAGGATGTGGCCGATGCAATTGTCATGGTATATCCCTCATTGGCGGCACTCATGCGACAGTATGAGAGCCTGGTCGGAGTGGACCCCGGGTCGGACCCTGGGCGCGTCCGCCAGGCCGAGCAGCTTCTTGCAGACATCATCCCGCGCAATCGTCTTCGGCCTATCGGCCTCCCCCTTTCGAAGGTCGTCTTCCAGACAATGTATGCTCGCGGCCGAGACGGAGCACAGCGCTTTGTGGCGGATCTCTAATTTGCCTCCCCTGTCCGGGCATTGGGGGCCGGCCACGCGTACCATCTACGACGCTATCTAAAGGGATGTATTTTTTTGATGCTTCTTTGTGTGGTGCATGTGCACACACGCGTGAAAGGGGGACGGGGAACAAGGAAGTTGGGGTTGGGGCGCCGTTTCCGGAGCTATTGTACAGCTACCATCCTCGTGGTAGGGGAGGGGGAGGGGGG